TCCTAAATCCCCATTTATTAGCCCAACCTTCCACTTTCAAAATGGCATCCTGCATCTTTTTCTGCAAATATACCAGATTATGTCCCCGTACCCAGAGAGCCCCATCATCTGCAAATAAAGATTTGCCTATACTACTATCTATCTCATCAAAAATGTCATTAATCATAATATTAAAAAGAATTGGGCTACACACACTGGCTTGTGGAGTACCATTCTCAACAGAATACCTAGTAGAGAAATTCGCCCCAACCTGAACTTCTATTTCTCTACCAAACAAAAAACCCAAAACCCAATTATAAATCTTACCGCCTATACCAAGTTTCTCCTTAATTTCATCTATAATCCTTCTTTCCATAACATATCATAAGCCTTTTTTATGTCAAAGTCAGTGGTTCTTAACCTGGGTTCGATTGAACCCCAGGGGTTCGATGAGTCAGAGGTAAAGCCGCGGAGGTAAAGTCGTGATGACGCCCCGTTTTGCCATCACTTGCTCCAGAGAATCACGTTACATTGCTTAGCCAATCAGTGCTGCGGGAAGGAGTTCCACTCTCAGCATGGATTTGAACTTGTGTCTTTAATTACTTCAGCAGTGTACTTCTAATTCTGCTCCTTAGTCGCATCTTTTCGGGGTTGGTACTGCCTCTAGTGGCGTGGGGGAGGTAATACAACTAATATAATTACATTAATAAATCAGAATACTGCAAATTATTTTCTGTGTCGGGGGGGTTCGGTGAATGTGCATATGAAACTGGGGGGTTCGGTACCTCAAAAAAGGTTAAGAACCACTGGTCAAAGAACACAGCAATCACTAACTCTTTATTTGCCTTGAGCTTTTCTTACTTCTGACTCTAAACACAGAACTGCATCCATTGTATTTCTCCCTTTACAAAAACCACTCTGAAATGGACAAAATTTATTTTTACTCTCAATAAAATATGAAAGCCTGTCTGTAACAATCCTCTCCATTATTTTCCCTAGTTGAGATGTAAGAGCTCTAGGTCTATAACTTGACAGGTCAGTTGCATTTTTACTGGGTTTTAACACGGGAATTATAACTGACTGTTTCCATTCTGCAGGAATACTCCCAGTCATCCAAATCAAATTAAACAATTTTAATATAACAGTAAGAGATGAATATTTAAAATGTTTGAGCATTGTATAACACACTCCATCCTTCCCGGAGTTGATTGCTTAGCATTAATAATAGGTTTTTCCAACTCATACATAGTAAAAGGCATATCTAAATCCTGATTTGAAACTACTCTCTTAAAAGTAACTTCTGGATTTTCAGCTAATAACTTTTCTTTATTACTTTTCATATCTTCAGATAAATTTTCTGAACTATGCACCTTAATTAACGTTTCTGCTAATAACTCTACTAACCACTATATTCCCACTTAATTCTAAAACCGGTAAGGAAAAACTCTTTTTAACACCATTCATTTTCTTAATAACTGTCCATACCTCAGACAACTTGGTCTCTCTTCCGATGGAATTACAATACTGCCTCCAATAAGCCTTCTTAGCTCCTCTAATAGTCTTCCTAACTATAGCTTGTGCTTTCTTATATTGAATTAATGCCTCAAAGGTATGGCATCTTCTTATCAATTTAAAAGCTTTATTTCTTCCCTTTATAGCAATACTACATTGCTCATTCCACAATGGAATAGATTTTTTATTTCTTCTTCCCCTTGTTTTAGAAATTGAACTGTCAGCTGCATTAAGAATGACAGACATAATATTTGAATAACACATCTCCACATCACAAAACAAGTTCTCACCCAGTTTATTAAATTGACTATCAACTACATTTTTAAATAACTCCCAATTAGCGCTACTTAGCCTCCATCTTGGAATCTGCCCTTCCTCTTCTTTTATCACTTCAGAACCAACTGAAACTAAAATAGGAAAAGGATCACTGCCCATAGGAGAATCACTCAGCACCTCCCAAGATGTAATTCCAGCTATTCCATTTGAAACCAAAGTTAGATCTAAAACACTCTTTAAATTCCTACAACAATCATATCTAGTAGAACTACCATCGTTAACGCTAACCAGTGAATGTAACTCAAGAAATTCTTCAATCACCAAACCATTTGCATCTGTATTAAGACTCCCCTACAAAATATTATGAGAATTGAAATCACCACACCATACAGTCTTACCTACATTTTGTTCATTTACTACATTGAGATCTTGAATGGACAACTTCTTGTTAGCATTATAAAAAGTTATCACAGACATTTGACCATTTCCTATCCAAATCTTAATTACTATTGATTCATAATTCTGCCCTATTGATTCCACTTTATATCTTATACCATCTTGTACAAAAGTTGCTACTCCCCCACCTTGTCTTTCCTTTCTATCATTCCTAATTGATGTATACCCAGGAATTATGAAATCTAGATGAGGCTTAAGCCAGGTTTCTTGAATGCAAATCAGGTGAGGTTTAACTGTCAAATCGAAATATATTTCTTAAACTCTAGACCAGGGGTCCCCAAACTTTTTCCTGCGAGGGCCACATGACTGTTCCCTTTTCTGGTCGGGGGCCGGTCTTAGTTTTTCGAGAAAGAAACCTTAGAAAAGTTTTGTTGACGGGGATGGGGGGGGGGTGGAGGGAGAGTGAAACTGCGTTTGTAGATAGATTTTTACCCAGAATGCAAATGGAAAAAAAACCGTGAGCGAAACGGTGACTGGTACTGACTAGTATATATTCCATTGAGGGAAACTAAGTTTCATATCTGCTCAAGAGCGCCCTTGGTGGTTGAAGAAAAATTCACATATATATGAAAAAAAACACTGAATGCGCTCTGGTATTGTTCAGGGGGCCGGACCAAATGAGGAGGCAGGCTGGATCCGGCCCACAGGCCGTAGTTTGGGGACCCCTGCTCTAGACCATTACTAATAAGACTTCTTGCATTCCACTGGAAAATAACTAACATGAAGAAGAAGGGCCACCACTGCATGACTGAGGTTGAAAAGATTGTGTCTCATTTAACTTTTTCTTAATTGATTCCAAACTAACATTCTTACAGTCAAGATACTTTTGGGCTGCCTTCACTATTATTTGCATTTTTTCCATTTTTCTTTGTGTTTGAGCAGTGCAGTTAACAACTTCTACCATGAACAATACAAAATCCTCCTTTGTCATGAGTAGAGTGTCGCCTTTAATCTTGCAGCATTCTGTACAATTAGATCCTTCTTTTTCTCCTCCAGACACTTTCTTTGGGTATGATATTGGTTGCACAGGAACTTTTTACGTTGCTTCTGCATAAGTAATGCCAGTAGTTATTTTAATTTTCTGAACTTCCTCAGCTCTTTTATTAGCTACACATCCCCTAAATCCTGAACTATGTCCAGCTCCACAATTACAACATTTCAGCGGAGCTCCTTCCTCACATTTCCATACTCATGATCCCCAGCACATCTCCCACATTTCTGTTTCCTCTTACACACTCCCGCGACATGTCCAAATTTCTGGCATTTAAAGCACCGCAACGGCGGAGGAATAAATGGTCGGGCATCATAGCTCATACAAACACTTTATCTGGCAGACTGTTCTCTTCAAATTTTAACATGATAGAAAAACTATCACTCCTCTCTGCATTTTGATTTCTTTTCAATTGTTTGGCTTCCACTACTTTCCCTCCTGATACATTCGATTTGATCTCATCAACCGGCACGTCGGGTGGAATACCCGAAATAACTCCACGTACATACTTCTTATCATCCAAAAGTCTCCCTCTCACATTCTCTCCAAGCACTCTTTTTATATTTAGTGCCCTTTCTTTTTGTTTAATACCATTACAAATAATCAATAAAGATCCATCTCTTAGTACTTTAACAAATTTCACCTGTTTCTCCTTCGGCCTCGGAAATAGATGATTCTATTTGTTGCCTTGATTTTTTCCGTTTATGCTTAGCTTTTTGAGTATGCCATATTTCTTGGTTTTCCACGCCATCAGCACCCTCTTCCATTTTCGCAAAATCACTACCTGACGCATCATTTCCCTCTGACATCCTTCCAACCATTCACAGCCTGGTCGTGCCTTACCGCCCTTGTCCCGGCGCCTTCTTCTTCTTTAGATTTCAACGGCAGCTTGCATTTATTATTGTTGCACTACTGCCATCTATTGGATCCTAATATCTATACCTCAAATTCTCATAATGATCCCAGTATTATTTAAAAAAAAAAAATCTTCTTTTCCCCTCAATGCTATTTAACAGATCAACAACATTCTCAAATTTCAATTCCCTATTAAAACCTAATTCCGTTTTAATGGCCGCTTTCTTCTTTTATTTCCAATTTTGACTTCCAATGATTCACTTCCTGCTAAAGAGCCCCCGGGTGGTTGAAGGAAAATCCACATATAAGTCGCAAGGTTCAAAACTTAGGAAAAAAGTGTAGCGGCTTATAGTCCGGAAAATACGGCATATGGAAAAAAAAAATCTAAATGCTCTCTTATATTGTTCAGGGGGCCGGACCAAATGTGGAGGCGGGCCGGATCTGGCCCGCAGGCCGTAGTTTGGGGGGACCACTGCTCTACATACTGATGTCGTTCATATTACCATACATATGCACACACAGTTCATAATACTCATTCTTTGCAACACAATACCCTCTGTTTTATTTTTTTGTTAGCTCCGTGATTTTATTTTCCTTTCATTAATGGAATGTACCACACCATATATTTTCTATTTTGACATTAAATAAAGTAAAAAAATATATATATATATAATTTCATGTTTCCATCACAGAAGTTGTATTGAGCACTGGCTGCTGCTACTGTTGCATTTGATTATATTGTTACCCTTTTTTTTTTTTTTTTTTTTGATAGAGCCTATTACCTACATATAATCACATGAAATAAAAAGCTGAAATAGAAGTCTTGTATTTTAAAAATGCATGACTAATTCATACTTATTCACCTGCACACTGAAAATTTCAGGGAGTGAGGGTGTCTATAACGTGTCTGCATACAACTCAGAAATTATGTAGTTGCACCCTTGCACAGACCAGTAGTCTGGCAATCTTAAGTGTTGTGAGTTTGATTCCAGCTCCGCCAGCAATAATGATGTGCCCTTAGACAAGGCACTAAACCCCAAGTTGCCTGTCGGGTAAGAGTGTTTGAGTGAGTGATCATCATAATTAGAGGAGTGGTTCAATTCATGTACTTTCCATTACATTATCCAGATGTTATATTTGTGAGCTATTCTGCCACATTCTTCACCTAAATAGTACATGTACACAAGTGCTTTGTAAATTTTCCATGATAGTGTTCTTTCAAAAGAATGTTTTCTCATGAACAATGACTATTTGTGTATTGTAGTGTTCTTGCAAAATTTTGACTGAATTGTGACTGTGATTTTTCTCCAGTGGTGATCATATGTGCTGGAGCAGACAGGATTCGAGAAATCATGCTTGCAGCACACAAGCAGCAGCTGACCAATGGCAGTTACATGTTTTTTAATGTTGATCTCTTCAATGCCTCTTCTTATGGTGAGTTCACGTCATGTTTCTCATTAAATTAGTTGTTTAAAAAGTCAACAATTAGTATTAATGTTTATGATCTTGCAGGAGGAGAAAAGAGTATAGTGCACATCTGTACCATGGGATACATTTTGCCTTTTTTCTTAGATCTGCTTCATGTGATCATTTAAAATTACAAATTATATCCAAGAAGTAACATGGACATCAGATTAAAAAACTACAACAGTGATATTATGTTATTTCAAACTTTTTTTTATTATTACAAAGTTTGACTATGTAATACATCAGCACCACTTTGTTGACCTGGGTGCACCCTTTAAAATAGTTGGTAAAAGAAAAATCCAGATCAGAGTGAATATTAGGATAATCATCAACAAAATATAAATCCTGCTTATTGTCACGCTACACTATGGAAAAGTGGAAAAGTCTCCATTCCATGAAGGAGAAAAAGAACAACATTGTCACCTTAGAATTTAACAAGTGTTTTCTGTAGAACATCTGCATCTGTTTGAATACAAAATAAAAAGCAGTGAAGGCAGCACACAAGCCCATGGAGATCTTGCACTTGACACAACATCCTCTAGGCCAGGGGTCCCCAAACTTTTTCCTGTGAGGGCCACATAACTTTTCCCTTCTCTGGTGGGGGGCCGGAGTCAGTTTGTAACAGAAAAAGTGTGACGTTTGCAGGAGTGCCTAAATGTAAAAATGTATTGTCTTCCAGAAAGCACAATCAAATAACCCTCTCTGGGTCCTTCACAGGAAAAATCCAGGAAATAACACTATTTATGAAATAAATACCGTATTTTCCGGACTATAAACCACACCGGGCTATAAGCCACAAATATCTCTGCCGCTCAAGGTTTTCCACAGCGATGCAGCAGCAGAGGGGGACGGACACCCAAAATTTGAGTCATAACAGGTCAATTGAATATCACATTTATTAGGATTGAAAAAGAAAAAAAACATTTGCCAAGTTTATGTTTAACCGAACTGATTACGGTAGGTTCCGAACGGTAACAGTAACAGTAAAAGTGCTGGACCTTCGTGTCTGCTACTAGCATGTGCTAAATGAAAATGGGCGACTTCTTATTCTTCTTCTTTAGATTTCAACGGCAGCTTGCATTCATTATTGTTGCACTACTGCATCTATTGGATCCTAATATCTATGCCTCAAATTCTCATAATGATCAGTGCCGCAACTACACATTATTCAGGTGGCCCCCCCGCCCCCCTCTCCCCCGAAGGAAGGTTGAAGGAGCGTGGAAAACATACGCGCGCTTCTCCCCCCCCACCCCAAGACGAAATTACGTGAAGGGTAAAACTCGCTCCTTTACCCCTCTGGTGCTGTGCCCCTATGCGTTGCATGCGCTACATACCCCCTTTTTGCGCCACTGATAATGATCCCAGTATTAATTTTTAAAAAAAACTAAAAATCTTCTTTTTCCCCTCAGTGCTATTTAACTGATCAACAACATTCTTAAATTTCAATTCCCTATTAAAACCTAATTCCGTTGTAATGAGAGCTTTCTTCTTTTATTTCCAATTTTGACTTGCAATGATTCACTTCCTGCTAAAGAGCCCCCTGGTGGTTGAAGAAACATCCACATATAAACCGCAAGGTTCAAAGCTTAGGAAAAAAGTAGCTGCTTATAGTCTGGAAAATACGGTTTAAGAAAAAAATCTAAATGCTCTCTGGTATTGTTCAGGGGGCCGGACCAAATGCGGGCCGTAGTTTGGGTACCAGTGCTCTAGGCTGAGATGCAAATTGCATCATAGTTGGTGGGACTTTCAAACATTTAAAATATTTTCTAAAGTTTTAATCACAATAGAAATTAAAGTTACCGATTTTAATTGTTTTAGTTTGTTAGATCTACACAGATTCCATCAGGTGCTGGACCCTTCCATATATTTATCATCTTTATCTCAAGAAACAAAACAGTTTTATCGTACCTCTGGTTCACACACCTCTTCAGCGATGTTTGGTTGAAATCTCAGAAGGCTGCATTCACACTGAAGCCAGAAGTGACCCAATTCTGATTTTTTTTTTTTGGGGGGGGGGGGGGGGGGGGCCCTCATCGTCACTTGTTTCTTTTT